CATAATAGTCATCCCAATTGTCACAGCAAAGTGAGAATAATCAATTAATCAAAATTGATTTCCATAATATCCTTTATACATGAAGGTTATTTAGAGCATATTATAAATTTCTCATACTAATATGCCAACACAATTTGTGCTCTACAAAATATTTTCATTTCTCAATAAATGCATAAGCATCTTCTACTTTAAAATAAATTAGGACAAATCACAATTTGTCATGCTTTTATGCAAATATAATTGACATATAATCATCTCACTTAATTCTATAAAATAAATTAGGACAAATCACAATTTGTCATGCTTTTATGCAAATATAATTGACATATAATCATCTCACTTAATTCTATAGGATTAAACGAGGCTATTAACTCAAGTTAGCATGAGTTCAAGCAAATTTATCTTGTCAATTTTAATATACTAGTAGAGAAATGGTCACAAAAGTTCATATAAAATTCTAACACTCTAGAACTTTCCCATATGCAATGTTATGATTTTCATTGCAGTAATTATGCAGTCAAAAACTTCAAACCTTTAACTATATGGGTGAACGCCAAAATTATGCATCCTCAAGTGAACACGTGTGGATTAATTTATTTCCAAGTAAGGAACACACATTTTTCCTTCATGCACGTATATTTGTCAAAGTTAAATAAATAATTGCACGTACCAACTAGGCAATTGGGATCTGCAGCATAATTTTCACATGCAAACTGACATATGCCTTCAAATAAAGCTGTGCATAAATTGAACATGCAACTTCCCATATAGGTAGTGTAGAATCAAATGGAACCTCTCCATATTTGGACATAAATATATTCGGCATATATTTCTTTCTTCAAAGTGTAGAGATATGTGCATCTTTCACACTCAATTTGCAATAAATTATTAAAGTTGATCATAAATCACATAATCAATTCTCATGCCATAAAATTGATCATAGAATATCTCATAATATTCTACACAATTTTCCACAAATAAGAGGCTTAATTAACAAAGTTTTCACTTTGGACAGAATCACATAATTCTTTCAATTTTCATGTTCAAAATCAGTCACCAAACATCAAGAATAACTACTTCACAAACTGCCTTTCATCGGACAGTAGTCAAATATAGAATGATGCGTGGTTTCTTTAACCCCTCATGTTGGCATACCCTCCTCGGTAATTTAATACATTCAAACACATAATGTTTTGCAATAATTAGTGAGGGAACAAGAGGTGATTAGGATGATGTATGTATAAATTGAAAATAAGGGATGCCTCAAAGCAGCCTCAATGATTTTTCAAAGTAATGTCTAATTATTCATCACCATTTGATGAACACAAATCTAAAATGACATATTCCATATACTTCTGACATTTGCCTTTTAATTTACCAAATAAATGTCAGTATCACAGAAGGCATAAATGATTAGACAGTGCAAAATTAAATGGAAGTGAGCACTAACCGACGCCTCCCTTTGTGAGTAAATCTTCGTGGTGGCAAATGACATGTAGGCATTTGACTTTGAGGCAGTTTTTTAACATAAAGAAATACAATGGTTGGCATATCCAATATCCATATTCATGCCCGCACAGATAACCACAGAAACAAATTCATGCTACATGATTCCAAAATTAATCTTACTATAGAAATTAATAATTGTATTTAATTCATAGAATTTGATCATCACTTATTCTGGGTTATCAAATGGCAACATAAATGCCAGATTTTATTTCCGCTTTTCGGTGTGAACATAATAGAATTTCAGATTGTATTCAAAGATGAATGGACATCGTTTAATACACTATACCACATGCACTTGTTCATGCAAAACCGTATGGATAGAATACAGTTTTGGGTTAAAGGTGCCAATAAATAATTCTAGTGAAAGAAAACCGCCAACATTTAAAACTGGAATGTTTGGGAATGTTCCGAATGCACACAGAAAGCAAAACCTTGATGACTTTCATAAAACTCATTAATGCAAATGTTCCCATTATTCCATTACTTTGAGGACACGTTTTTCATGCACATGCACAGTCACATGACATTTTAATTTCATTGTATTTTTCATGGCTTAGTCACCCATAGTTTTATACCAGTGATGTGCATATATAATTATATTCACAGAAACGTACCTTTTACGTTTACGAAATCGAATCTAGTTTCGGCTTACTGAATGGGAGTCGATCCTTTCCATTCTTCAATGAAGACATTTTCCTTCCAACATGCACCAGATTTCTTTTGGCAGAATTTCATCCCATTAAAACGATCCACACAAACAAATCTCGATCCATCAACTTGATCATCACCATAGTATTTTCATTCTCCATTACAACATATAGTTTGAGAATGTTGGAAATATTTGCATCACTGAGGAAAATGGAGAAGAAACAATGCAGAAAATAATAACCAAGAAGATGAAACGAAGACGATGAAAAACACAACGAATATGAAGGCTTGAACGCGTAACTTGTCCTCAAACTATATTTGCCTCCTCTTGGGATTGAATGAGATGCTTAAAGATCTTGGCAAATGGTTTGTAGGATTATAACGAGCATTGTAAAAGATTTAGCACTAAAGCATAAGTGTGATCCTCCAAAACTTTAAGAACACAAGGAAGATATGAGTATGAATATAAATCAAGGGTTTAATCTTTGATTTTGGAATGAATGTTGATCTCAAATGTTTTCATTTTATTCCCATTTTTCTTTTGTATTGATTCCTCCATCATCTATTTATAGATTTGAATCAACACTTCACGAATAGGTGCCAAAACATCATGAAAGGTTGTGAAAAACCCTCCAAAAGCCTCCAAAAAATCGGCTTAAAACAGCGTCTAACGGTCACAAGAAAACACCATACGACAGCATGGTATTAATCCATATGATAGCATGGAGTAATCAAAACGGCCCCTTTTATTTTCGATAGATGGCCGTGCGACCGCATGGCACAAACTGTGACCCTTGGCTTCCACACCGTTTTCTTTGGCTTCTTTCATGTTGTTTCATTCCATCTTCATTCCTTAATTGAGTTTTAAACAACAATATAACAGAGAGAACCAAGATGAGAACCCAAATTGGGTCCACTATTATCACCTATCACCTGAAACCAGAAGATATGAGCAGAACGTATGATCAAGTACCACTGACACATCTGTGTTCAAAGCTCATACCTATGGTTGTTGAGATATAAAGTTGTTTGTAGCTTCCAAAACTGATGAGTCGTCAACCCCAGCGTTGGTGAATATTCTCCTTGTCAACCCATCCTTCTGCTCCAATAGGACTTTCATTAGATGCTCAATTTCCACTACTTGTTGTCTACTCTCCATTGTTGCATACACACCACCGACGACTCCCTCCCATGCCATCTCAGTAAACTCTGAATTGCTACTCTGCCAAGTAAATATCATTGTAGGATACTATTCTAACATCTGAAATTAGAGAAGGTCAAAAACCAACATAAACAACGCCAAGAAGCGAGTTATTTATACCAAGCATTCTTCTTACGGCTAGATCCAATCTCCTGGCTTAGACAAGTCTTGTTTATCGATAACCTCAAACCAATCAATTGAATATTGATTAATATGTAATTGATCGAACACTACTTGCAAACGGCTCTTCTGCAGCGTGTCTACCTATTTCACCATTGTAGCTTGTCTTGAACTCATAATAGCCTATGACCGGCGATTACGAGCGATTCCGACTTCATGCAAGCAAGTTGCAGCATGCAATCCAAACCAATACATAACAAAAGGAACTATCAATCTCAGAAGATGATAAAATTTCTTTTAGTACAAAAGAAAATTAATCTGCTCTGCCAAATTCAGGGAATCCCTCTATCCTGATATTCATTTGATAGGAATAATTTATTTGAGCAGTACAAACTAAAATCTGATATTGTATATAGTGGCCAGTCCTAATCACAATTCCCTAACCTCCCAAGCCTTTATATTTATTATCAAGGCCCAATATAGCAGACCCTTTCCATCCATCTCTCCTTGAAGATCATTACCATCAGTTACCATTTTGCACTTGTGCAATACAAACACATATTTGATGCCTTTATCATTCCCGCTGCCCAATTTTTATGAGCACAAGTCCAAAAATAATCGTTGTTATCTACAAATGAAATGACGGTTTCAAATTCATAAAGATATCTCAAAATACTCAGCAATCAACGTATTTAGAAACCCTTAATAATTTTACAATTTCTATTGACAGGAGTTTCAACTGGATTAACATGTATATGATGTAGTAAAATTTTACTATTTAACAAAATCTGCAAATTTATACAATCATTTGAATAATAATTTACTCTGATTCGTATTTAATTAGGCAGTAAAAAAAAAAATGGAATAACAAGTTAGAACCTTGCTAATTTTAATGTCTAGCCTCATGTTGATATCTTGGTGTGGATGTGCGTGACGATCACATTTTGCCTAGCAAGGCAGTGTGATAATGGAAAATGCTCAAGAATTCGGGATCCGTTCCAGGGGCAGAGGCTGCCACTTCTGCCCCCAATTTTGATGGCGGGCCCTCCAAGTGCAGAAAATCAACGGCCGAGGTGAAAACACCTCGGCCCTGAATTAAATCCGGGCTCTGTAGCACAGTTGGTGTGATAATATTGCACGTACATGCATGTGGATGGCACTTTCGACATAGGAGCGGGTAGAGATTGCATGGAAGTGATGTAATGCGGAATTCACTTTATGGCAATGCAAATTTTATATATTTGGCTTAGAGGATTGAGATTGTTTGTTTTGGCCCTTGGCTGAAATTCGAGTTGTTCTTCATTGGTTGAGTAATACAGATCAGGAAAAAGTTCGTGTACGATATGTTACATCTATTCTACACAATTATCTTGCAGGTTTTGCTCGATTTTGTACAAGCAGTATATGTTTTCTGGCTAATTCAGGCGAGAAATTTCCATGCCATTGCTGACAAAATTCAGCTCTTGAAAGCTCGGACTTAACACATCAAACAATCTGAAGTTTGAAACTTTGCACCAAAACGAAAACACAAGAAAACTGGATTTAGTACATAAAGGAAATGGGAGCTTCATAATCATATACAGAAAACTTTGCTTCGCCAATACAGTAGAAGGTACCAGACACTACCACATTTCTCATCCATTATAATAGTAATACTCCAAACTATCCTACGACTCCATAACTTAAAATTCATTATACAGAAAACTCTGCTTCGCCAATACAGAAGAAGATACCAGACACTACTACATTTCTAATCCATTATAATAGTAATACTCCAAACTATCCTACGACTCCATAACTTAAAATTCATTAAAACCTAATATCCCAGCACAAGCATACTGAATAACCCATATTTTAAATCCACGAAAATATACGGCCATACTTAAAAAGGATAACAATAAAAAAACAATCTACCGCTTCCGAATTCGACTTTCCCCTTGAAAAAATAAGGGAAGTTATTCGCCAATAATCAAACCAAATAAGTTTAAATTCAATCCAGATCGAGCCTGAGAATCCTTCGCAAGTCACTGGTGGCGTCATCAATGTTGCTGTCAAGGTTTTTCTTCTTAAAAAACACTGGTTTCGGAAGACAACTGGGGGGAGGCGATGAAATGATAGCCGAACCAGCGTAGAAGTTCAGGACCCGGATCTGGTTTGGAATCACATCCGGCTCCGGACCCAGACGATCCGTCGCTGAAAGAACCATCAAATCGTCAACCGCAGCCACTTTATTGTTCCCCTCGTTCAGATCTTTGGTCAACACTTCTCCGCGTTTCAAAATCTTAACCTGCCCCATTACCAGGGTGTGGTTGTTTGGAGGTGAGGTAGAACAATATCGATTGTTGGAAGTATTCTGTTGAATTCTCTTCCGCCGATTTGATTTCGCCGTACAAGAATTAGGGTTAGGATTAGGGTTAGGAGAAATATTGGATTTTTTCTGGAATTTCACAGGGGACTGAATTGAGCCATGACGAGATGGGTGGTGAGCGAATCGATCTTTCAACAAATTTTGTGGATGAAGAACTTCAACTCCTCCCATTGAAAATTGAAATAAGAAACAAAAAGAGAGTTTGGAATTAGAAAGGGGGAAATGAGATACCAGTCAGATCTGAAGAGAGGTAGGTGCGTGTGCGAGAGAAACAGAGAGCGGAAAATGTAAATAAAGACATTTCATGGGTCCCCGTCGGCCCGTTCTATGATCAATAATGTACTATGGATTGGGCTGGGCTGGGCTGGGCTGGGCTGGTCTGGGCTGGACTGAGTTGGGCCCTAGAAGGTGTTCTTGTACTACACAAATAGTGCTGCTCCAACTACATAGTTATTAATTGACGCAGCGTGGGACATTTTGTACAATGTATTAGTTATGGAGGATAGGATTATGGTGAACTAGAGGGTATTAAATGATCGTATAAGTAATGAAAAATTAAAAAATATATGATAGTACTTTTATTTAAATGAAATTTTTACCTCTAATTTATTTTATCTATATTTTTAACTTTTAAACTGATTTTTTACTTATAAGTAATTCTTTTTACATATAGGTTAAGTTTTTATTTATAAGTAAATTTTAAAACTAATAAGCCTTTATTTGGGAAGAATCTATTAAACATTTGATTTATAAATAGATGGAAAAGAGTGAAGGATAATACTTGTGGAACAATGGAAATGTGAGATTACAAATGAAGCTCGATTGATTTATAATTTTGGCAAACGGAGTCTTATAAATAATTTTTTTACTTATACGTGAATTATTTTACTTTACGTAATTCTTTTACTTATAACTCAATTTTTACTTTTAACTGCATGTAAGTAAACTTATGTGATGTTGTTCCTATTATTTATCAGTTCAATTACAAGTAACAAATACGACGACTTATACAATGTTTCCTATTATCTATCACTTCAATTACAAGTAACAAATACTACGGTGTAATCATACCTCATTGAATGAGTTGAATTCACAAAAAATGACTATGAGAGAATTAACTAGCCATGCAATGTTACAATATTATTTGGAGTACATCATAGTAATAGCATTCAATAATATGAAAATTGTGGACAAAGATGAAGAATTCACCCTTAAAATTGTGTTATAAGATGATCAATATAAACGGAATTGCAATTGATTTGAATCTAACTTCATAATCTAATTCTCATTTATACAAAGAAAATATTGTTACAGTAATTTCATCGATTTACTTTTATGTATACTGTCTTTTCCAATTCAAATCGAATAGCAAAAGACAAATTCTTCACTAGTTCATCAAACCAAACTACACAAAAACAATAACCACTCTTAGTTTGAGTCGGAAAGCTTCCAAATTTGGTGGCCAATCAAAAACTCGTCCTAAGTATATTATTCTTAGACTTTAAAAATAACATTTCAATAAGACTAGAATACATAGTTGTCTGCGTGGAGACAAGTAGAATACTATATCAGTTGATAGGTAGGGTGTTGGAGCCGTTAAGAAATGGAAAAAAATGGGTTAGCTGGGAAGTCATCGCACTCAAGTTAGTTGATTAGTAATCTATCCCAATTTCAACATTCTTTTTTTTTTTTAATTCTTTATTCTAATTTTATTAGTATACAGCACAGCTGATAAACCCATACCAACTGCAACCAACCCACATCATCCTAAAATTAAATGAATTATGGATAGGCTTCCTCTTAAGAAATTATCCCAATTGTTGGCCTGACAAGGAAAACTACAAGCCTCAGTTTGATTGTACATCAAATTTAACCCATGTTTAGTATCAAACTCCCTTTCAATCGTACATTTCTTAGAAAAAACCATTTGTACCCGGACGTGTACACACCCCTCACATGGGAAGGGACCCCACACTCAATAAATGCTTCCAGCCGACCTCCCATATGAGGAGGCGTAAGTGTACACCCCCATGTACGTATAGTCGAACCCTCTTAGAAAAAACCATTCATGAAATTCTCAGATTCATACATTTCATTAAAATTTGATAAAAACATGATCTTTATCTAAATCAAAGCTTACATAAATTTCCAAGTAATTCGTGGGATGGAATTCACAGACACAAATTGGTTATTGTGTGTGGGCCATTTTGTGATAACTGCCCACACGATGGTTCTGCACTGAGCCACTCAATTTGGTCATCCATGTATTCAGTATGTCGTCTTCTTTTGGATATTCAGACCACCACTGGAAATGCCACTAGGGTGAAGGAGATCGAGAGAGATTTGAGACAGTATAGGAAATTCAAAACTTTCATCATAGGCGCCGCATTTT